TTGGTTTTGGTTTTTGGTTTTGGTTTTTGGTATGTTTTGGTGCTACGTACGTAGTATGTGTAACTCTGCGCGTCGTTATTGGTTTTGGTGGGTTGGGGAGGGGAGAGGGGGAGGGGGGAGAGGGAGGAGGGATAGCCGGGTTGTGGGTGTGGTTCTGGGTGTGGTTGTGGTTGTGGTTGTGGTTGTGGTTGTGGTGGTGGTGGGAGGGATGGGTGGAGGGATGGGTGGATGGATGGATGGATGGAGTAATAAGATGAGGTGAGTGACGTAGTAGTGCGTACAGTACAGTACAGTACAGTACAGTGCGGGATGGGGGGCGGTTTTTTGAGGGAGGTTTGGTTTGGTTTGGTTTCGGTTGTGGCGGGGGAAGGAGAGGGAAGGAGGATGCTTGCTTGCTTGCTTGCTACGTCGTAGTGTGTGTTTTTGTGGTCTACGGTGGTAGTAGTAGCAGTACAGTACCTAGCAGTAGTACCACTACCTACCACTACCTACCAGTACCAATACCTACTACTACTGATCCCCTCCGGACGATCGATCGATCGCCCTGGCCCTCTCACGCGGTACGGCAACGTGCGAAGTCGGTAAGCTACGGTAAGCTAGCTACTGTAAGGGGGTACATAAGTACTACCGGTACTACTATATACTACCGGTACATACATACATACCACTACATACGTAGTACATCCATCCATCCACACAAGTCAAAGGTACACCAGCAAGCTTGCCACTCACTCACTCACTCACTCACTCACTCACTCACTCACGTACGTAAGTACCTTACCTACCTATACTTATGGTATCAACTGCCCCCTTCCCCTTCCCCTTCCCCTTCCCCTTCCCCTTCCCCTTCCCCTACCTACTACATACTACCCACTACCTACCCACCTACTACCCACGTACAGATACAAATACGGATACGGTAGGTTGATCCGATCACAGACAGACTAGACTTTACTTTACTTTACTTACTTTACTTTACTTTACTTACTTACTTACTGTATACTGTACGTATTGAGCAAGGTACAGAGACCGGAAAAAGAGACATGGCGCAGTGTGCCTGCGCGGGCTGAGAAGCTTAGCGGGTGCGACTCGCAGAACGGGAGGAGCCAAGGCCGAGCCCGGGCCAGCCCTAGATTAGTGGGTGGTGGGTACCCGACCCGTCGGGTGGGGGGTCTTGATCCGGACCGTGAACACGGAGAGGGACATCACCAAGGCACCAACGCGGATCGGATGGTATCACCAGACGAAAAAAAGACATATTATCAGAACTCATAGACTATTCGTTCCATTGACGATCAATGTCGACATGTAGAATGTCTGCTACTCGCTGCCTTGGGTAAGGGAGCAAAGAGATGCGCCGCTCACGGCTACTATCTACCCCAGCCACCTTCTGGCACTCCGTTCCATAGTCCAGATCCAGAACTCCTTCCTCTCCTATCCCATCATGCCAAAGAAATAGAGCATCTAGGAAATTCTCGCGGGGCGTCGTGTATCAAAAAATAGATTCGCAGGTAGTGTGGGCGGTATTGTGAATTGTGGTAGTTGAAAAGGTCGTCGATATAAAAAGGTGGTGTGTAGAAATTTGGTGTTTGCGTCGAGAGTCGGCGGGCAGCCCAGCGGGAGAGAATCAATACCAAATACAGGCCTCCGATCAAGCAAATGAGTAGATGCAGCAGTCGTGTCGCCGTTTCCGAGCCGTCCGGGAATGCCCTCCTTTCCTGCTACACCGACTTGGTGGGGTATCCCAATCTCTGCATCGCTTCGATGTAGTTGATTTGGGGAGCCCCGGCTCTCCTCCTATGAGAAGCTCACAAACTTGGGGTCTCTGGGTAGTCCATCGGGACCGATGTTGTTTTTGGCGAACCGGCCTTCGGTGTGTATCCTCCGCGCCTCGTCGAAGTTCACCCGGCGGCTCTTCATGATATGCTGGATCTCCCGCTTGCTCTTGTCATCGAGCCCACGGCGGGCGTCGCCCGAGGCAAGGTTGCCGGTAAGATCAAAGTCGGAGGAGGAGAGGCCGCTCTCGATGTCGGCGGAGAAGGAGGAGGGCAGGCGCGAGTAGATGAATGAGGAACCGGGAATAGCGAACATGTTGTCGGAGATGTAATGAAGCCAAAGAGAACGGGTAAGGAAAAGTACTGTGCAAGAAAGAGTTAGTGCTGCGTCGCGGGATAGGAGGAAGAGGCTGGGGCTAAGTCAAACGACATACCAGTTGAGATGACGAGGAGGCTGGAAACCGTGCTGTAGAGGAGGTAGCCCATCTTCTTCAAAACGAACTGAGCTCGGGGTCCTGATTCTTATAGGAGTGACCTGTGAGAGTTCAGGGTCCCCTGAATCCAAGTTTGGGAAGGCGTTGGACGCATGAAACTCGAGATTGATCAGGCCGGTGTTGGTGTCTAAGCACACATCCCGGGAGGCTCCAGCGTCCAGCCGACATCCCAAAACCGGCGTGGCGAAGTGAAAGAGAGGCGCGCGGTAATAAGTCTTGGCGTGTAGTGGCTTATGGGCCTGATGCCGGTTGAATCGGAACGGGATCACGTCGAGAGTCGCCACCGGTGGGGGACTGACTGGGCTGACTTTATGGAGAGGTTTGCATTACGCCGCATGATATTGGTATTTGTGGAGGACTGGTTACGTAGATGGGTATTCAGGAACAATCCCCACAGGAAGAACAGGGAGAACTGTACCCTGACCTGACCGATATTCTGGTGGGCGTCTCCGTGAACCTAGCGTACAATGGGGGTGCCCGTATCGCAATTAAGCGACGGCCGAGCCCACCAACATTTCCAAATTTGACTCAAAAATCAGCTCCGTTAACCATATCTCCATCTTCGCGACCACATCACGTCAAAATGTCACACGTCTCGAGCCAAGCGTCTGCGGACTTGATCTGGGAGATCGTCGGTACGTAACAATTCGGCCGGGACTCGCAGCGTATCGGGGAAGGGAAGGCGACTGGAAGCCGCGGAAACGGAGATATTGGGAAAGGCAGAGTGACTGATTCTGGACCGTAGGAGCCCAAAATGCCTTCCTCGTGAAGCGCGCCCAGAGTGGAGGTGTCCGATTCTCCCGTGATCCTCTCAACCTGGTTAACTTGCACTCGCGCAAGGTAGGGAAACCAGGACCTTGAGGTGTGGAATTCTCGCTAATTGGAATCGCAGCACGCCGGTTTCGTCAACGACAAGGTACGCTTCGATTGCAGAGAGGGGTGATTCATACACGTGGGAATTCTAATCTCGACAGGCCGTCGGAGTTGTGCCCGCTGCTGGAGAGAAGGGAGGGGTGACTCTGATCACCAAGAAGGTCAACCACGCCCAGAAGCCAGGACCAGGTGCCATCAAGACCACCTTTGGCGGAAACAAGACCACGAGAAAGTGAGGAGCAGACTCGACGAGAGACTCTGGGGAAGTGCTGACTGTCCTTCCAGGACCTACAAGGGCATCGTCAACACCACAGTCAAGTCTGGATACCGATCTGATCTTCGTGCCCCTGCCGTTGCCCGCGCCTCTGCCATCCGCCAGTCCCAGCGACCCAAGAAGGACCTCCCAGAGTCGAAGCTTCGCGGAACCAAGGCGAAGAAGGCGGCGGCTGAGAAGGACGAGTAAATCCGGGGTGTTTGGGAATGGAAACGGGAACGGGGAGGGGAACGGCTTGCTAGTACTCATGAATGAATAGAGCACGATTCCTGGAGTTCTTGGCAACCACTGGTGCAGAGCCTACGGTTATGAATGACATTGGCATTGTGAAGTGGCAGTAAGGAGTGATGATGCTTTACTAAGGAGTGCTTTGGGTGTCGCGGGCTTTTCAAACAAACAGCAGCTTGGCAAGGGCGAAGCTGAGAATCTTGAAGACCTTCGAGACCTTCAAGTCCTTCTGACAGATATCTGCAATGCAAGACAGGTCGGCCCACTGATGGCAGCACGGGGGGTGAAAATCCAACTCTGGCATGTGAACACCATGGAGTTTTCCCGACCTTCTCCGAGACGAGACTTACACCTCGGTCAAGCTACCCAAGCTAGGGAGGGCTCAACTCAATATAAGCTCTTTATGAGTTTGATCTGGCTTGGGTAAGAAAGTTCATCAAACTCAAGAAGCAAGAAAGACGCATTTTCGAGACTCTGCCCAGAATAAGTAGGTAAGCAAGCAAGCAAGCACAGATGTTCTGCATCCAATGCCGGCCCTTGTGCCCCGCAACAGCTCTACCCCTCCAGAGTCGACTCCAACCCCGCGACCCCATGAAGTCACTCATCCTCAACATTACTGATTACCTACTTGCCTGACGTCTTCTCCTACACCTCGCTGACTCGCCCCCTCTTCCCTTTCTCGCAGTAAAAGAAACAACAACATTAACAACAATAACTTCCTCTCTATCTATCTATCAATCCATCCATCTACCTAGTACGTTGATTCCGATCGCTCTTCTCTTTACCAGAAGAGGGGTCCATCTTCAACGAATGCCACTGTGTTGACCTGGTCAAAACAGATTCTCACCACCTCACCAAACCGCAAATATGGGAATCAAGGCCGGTACGCTCAGCCTCTTTCCGTGTAGACGGGTGCATCCTAATACTGACTGACAATGATCCAGTTGTCGCTGGTGCCTCGGGTGGAATTGGACAGGTAAATAATGCCTTCACTCAGATATCGATTATTCATCCAAAACACGTTACTGACTTCCCCAACAGCCACTGTCCCTCCTCCTCAAAACCTCTCCCTATGTCACCGAGCTGGCCTTGTACGATGTCGTAAACACCCCAGGTGTCGCCGCTGATCTCTCCCATATCTCTTCGCCAGCCGTACGTACCAGCTTGAGGAATAGTGTCGGGATCCAGCTGATGGGATATATAGAAAATTACCGGCTACCTGCCCAAGGACGATGGAGCCAAGGCTGCATTCAAGGACGCAGACATCATTGTCATCCCCGCTGGAATTCCCCGTATGCACCTTACCCTACATCCCATGGGTAGTCAATACGTTCAAGGAGCTTGAACTAATATCGTGAGGTGTAGGCAAGCCAGGCATGACCCGTGATGACCTCTTCAACATTAACGCCGGCATCGTCAAAGCCCTCATTGAAGTTATCGCCGAAGTGGCCCCCAAGGCTTACATTCTCATCATCTCCAACCCTGTCAACTCCACCGTACCCATCGCCGCCGAAGTCCTCAAGGCCAAAGGGGTCTTTGACGCCAAGCGCCTCTTCGGTGTCACCACTCTCGACGTCGTCCGTGCGGAGACGTTCGTCGCTGAGATTGTTGGGGAGAAGAACCCCCAGAACTTGACTATCCCAGTCGTCGGTGGTCATTCCGGCGAGACGATCGTGCCCTTGTTCAGCCAGCTCAGCTCGAAGATCCCTGAGGAGAAGCTGGCTGCGTTGGTCAAGAGAGTGCAGTTTGGTGGTGACGAGGTTGTGGCTGCTAAGGATGGAGCTGGAAGTGCGACTCTCTCTATGGCTTATGCCGGATACCGGTACATCCTCCAACAGTCCCCCTACAACGAAGGAGTGCCCGTCTAACATGACCCAGCTTCGCAGAAGCCGTCATCAAGGCTCTCTCAGGCGAGAAGGGCATCGTCACGCCAACATTCATCCACCTCGAGGGCGTCCCAGGCGGAGATGCCATCGCTAAGGAGACCGGCTGCGACTTCTTCTCCGTGCCTGTCGAGCTGGGCGTAAGCTCTCCCTGATCACGATCACCCCGCAAAGAAATGCTGATTGACACGTGGACAGACTTCCGGAGCCGAGAAAGCGCAGAACCCACTCACCAAACTCGACGAGAAGGAGAAGGTCTTGCTCAAGGCCTGCGTAGAAGGCCTCAAGGGCAACATCAAGAAGGGCGTCGATTTCGCCCACAACCCACCTCAAAAGTAGTCTTCCCATCTTTCTGTCTTCTCCTTATCTGTCTGTCCGTTGTCCTTCCAGGTCGCACCTCTCTTCGCTGCGTGCTGCCGAAGCGTGGAAAAGATATTTTCCTCGCTTAGCGCACCTGTACCAGCAGAAGAGATAACTATACCCAGGGTTTGGTGTTGTTGTTGTGCCATAGCTCTCTTCTTTGGTAGGACCCCTGACTGATCGGTGACGCTCGCTTAGATAGGCTGTGATGGCTCGACTTCTCTTTTGGTGTACCTACCTGCGAGAAGTGATGGCGGGGGCGCTCGTTCTCCTTCTCCTCTTTCATTCTTGCCTTTTCGAGAGTTACGGTCGACTAGAGAATGGACGGGATGGCATGGCATGGCATGGAATCTGGCGGATAGGCAGGGGTGGGACTGTACCGACGGACGGGTTTTCGTTTGTGATGGTATCAAGTGAATGGCGGGGAATGAGCAATTCAAATGACTTCTGAAGTTTCCGTCCACTGTAGGTTATGGTGTTTTGTTTGCATTGCTGTCTGTTGATCTCTCGAGGCGTCCACCGTGTCTGCCCTGCGCGATGCCCCAACGCCAGCCAGTGCGGCACCGTATTGTACTGTACACATGCCCTCCCAACGGAAAAAAAAAATAACTCCGAGTATGCCGCTAAGATCGCACGAATATCAACAAACCCCTTTCCACTCTCCCTTTCCTTTCCTTTTCCCTCTCCTCTCACTCCTTCCCTCATCCTGCCTCCCCATGCCCCCACCGCCTCGTAATCAAGTCTTCGCAACCAAACTCTTGATCTGAAAAGTCGCTCCGGGCAGCTCGCTACTCTCCGCTTGCACCGTAGCGTTGATGCCCATGCTGGCCAGCGCACCCCGGATAACGCCACACGGGAACCAGAGAAAGGGCTGCGCGCGTGGGACTGCGTTACCACCTGCTTCGGTGGACATGCGGGCGAAGGGGCGGAAGGAGTTGTCGGTTAGGACGTAGACCCCCTTTTTTGCACTTGTGGTTAGCGAGGGGTCGCAAATGGAGAGAGAGAGAGAGAGAGAGAGAGAGAGAGAGAGAGAGAGAGAGAGAGAGAGAGTAGTAGTAGTA